AATTTATATTTGAATGAAAAAAATTTTATATTTCGTTTAAATATATTGTATATTTACAGCAAATAAAAAGGATTTTTCATTTTAATAAATTCTGTATCAATTCTGAAATATTAAAATTCACTTATAACCTTCAAATAATTTTAACTATCACAATCATTAATGAACCTTTTAATATTTATTATAAAAAATGTTTCTTTTTATATAAGAATTAAAATACACTCACATCTTCTTAGTCATTTTACTTTACTTTTTCACTTCATATGTAAAAGTCCACTGTCACATTTTTCTCACAAAATCTCAAATAAGACACTAAAATATAAATTTAATCACTTACAAATCTGTTATTTTTCACTAATTAAAATATTCATTTAAAAAGAAAAATTCTGTACTTAAATTAATTAAATTTATTGATAACTATTCACTATGAATAAATCATTTATATGCTTTAAATTGTTGAAAGCAAAACATCTTATTGCCCCAGGTAGAAATTTGTCAAGTATTACTTGTTTTCTTCCAGTAGCTGTAGAGTCGAGAGCAAGTTTTACTTGCCAAGGCAATCTGGCCAGTCCTGAATGAGTGACTGGCCAGTTTCACTGGATAAAAACAATTCCTCTTTGCAAACAGTACTTTTGTCAAGTCACTGACCAGAAATTCTGATCATTACAGTGATAAGAATTTCTTTCCAGACACTGGCCAGTCACTGATTTGAATAATTATTTAAGATTCTATCCAGAAAAACTGGTCCACCACTGATCAGAAAAACTTGCCGAATCCTATTAAAGGAATTATTCTAGATTTTCCAAATCTCTAGCCAAAAAATCTTGACACTATTAAAAAAAGAAACTGCGGACTCAGAAACTTCCAGTTACTAAGGAAAAAAACAAAGCACTAGTCCCATAAAAATACACTCTTAGTCAATCATTTATAATTAGATATTAAAAATAATTTTTATGTTCCATACGGTCAAAAACAGAAAAGTCTAAAGTAACTTTACACGGAAAAAAAAAGTTCCCAGATGTTTCAGGAATTATTTCCTAACTCTTGGATACGTGGTAACAGCTCTGAACTAGCAACGAACATTCAATGGTAATCAATGAATGTTTGAAAGAAATTCGGGAACTGTATTAGAAAAAGCTATAAATAGTCCATTAGTCTCTTTTTCATTACTTTCTCATGTAAAGTTCATGGCGCTGGCCGCAACTGTTTCTGAAATTTTCGGGAACTCGTCAAGGAATCTTGGTGCGCAGAAACTGTGCGCACCAGTCTCAACAAGTCTCACCGTCAGTAAGACTTGCGTGCCTTATATATATTTACTTTATGCTGAGGTATTTAACTCGCCTGTTTAGCTCAGCTGGATAAGACGCCGGACTTCTATTCTCGGGTACGCGAGTTCTGTTCCAGCCGCCGTCGATTTTTCTCTAATATGGTTTTTTCTATTTCAGAAACTTAATAAAAAATAAAAATTGTATGTGACCTTCAAGGATAAATGTGTGTGTGTGCGGACGTGTCAAGGAGGGGAAGTGGGAGGGGGGAAGCAGAATCCATTTTTTCTTGCATTCGCCTAACTTTTCGATTTTCTTGAACAGTTCCCGACTTTTTCAAGAACAGTTTGCCGAGAAGTGGTGAAATAGTTATAATTTGTAGAGAAATAGTAAATGACATATTTCAACGAGGCAACCTTTAGTTATCTGTGTACTACCCGCCGTATCCAAGAGTTAAGAACGAAGTTTCCGAATAATCCTCGAACTTTTTTTTTCCGTGTATATAAAAATTATGATCGTTTCACTGTCACATTATTACCAAAGTTTACCTTTTTCCTAAATTTTGACAAGATAAGCCGTCAAGTCTCTGACAAGTGACTAAACAGTTTATCTGGTCATCATTTCTGATCATTCATTACTTCTGACAAGTCACTGGCCAGAAATTCTGGTCACAATCGGAATAGAACTTCAGTTCTTAAACTTCTAGTTATGATAAGTTACTATCTAGTCTCCGTAGCTGCGTGGTAACGCACATGCGTTGTGTCTCCAGAGTCAAGGGTTCGATCCCCCATGCGTGCGAATTTTTTATTCTTAGATTTAAGTGTTATTGGTAGAGTAATTGTTCATAAGTCTTAAATATTTGAATAATCACAAAAATATAAATAAATATGTAATTATAAACAAAATAAAAAGAGCCGGGAAAAATTATATTTTCTTCTAGATTTTGAGCAGAAAACTGTCCAGTTACTGGACAGTTACTTGCCAGTCACTGGCCAGATAATCTAACCAGTAACTGCTCAAGTAGCGCGTTACATTTCCAATCAATCACTTGCCAGATTTTCTGGTCAATTACTGCCCAGAATCTAGAAAAACTTCCCAGTGACTGGTCATTATAGAGTTGAAATTTCTACCTGGGTGTTTTACTATAAAAATGCAATATGCGCAGGCGTCTACTTATAAGTCACACAAACATTTATTTGAATCAAATAGTGTTGCCGCGATAATGGCGAGAGGCGAGACGAGACGAGAGAACTTTGACTCGAGACGAGACGAGACAGTATTTTTTTAATTATCGCTAAAACGATACAAGACGAGAGAGGTGTCACGAGAGACGAGAATTCTCGACGAGAATTACGAGAATTCTCGATGAGAATTTTTTTTAAATTGCAAAGTTTTATTCTGAAAATATATAGTTACGGTTAACATATATATATATATAAAATATGATAGATATATGTATACTAAAATCTTTTATTGTTTACGTTGCATTTAATAGTCTTTTTAAACAAAATATAAGAAATTATAAATATTTTATATAAATTATATTTTTTTATACATAATATTTAGTAAATAAATTCTTTCTTAACTAAAAGTTGAAATTTAATTCATTTTTCAGTGTTTTTTTTAATGAGCAATATTTAACGGAAAAATAAATTTAAAAAAATTGTGAAAAAAAAATTTGGGTTTGGATCATAAATTCAGTTTCTTTGCTTATTTTTAAATATTATTGTGAAAATGGGTTCTATATTTAGCTAAAAAAGTTAGCAACTTTTATATTTATCTTTTTAAAAATTATTTGATTTAAATCAAATAAGAAAGTATTCACTTGAACTTGAATGAAATAATTTTTATTTTACTGAAATAAATTATTTTTGAACCAATGAATTCAGAATTTGAAGCAAATAAAATTTATTTGATAATAAACAAAACAAGTAATCAGTTATTGGAGACAAAAACATTTTTTTAATGCAAAAAATAAAAAAATTTGCATTTTTGATTATTTGAAAATAAATTGTAACTATTATTCAGCTTAACATTTTTTATTCCAATATAGCTAAAATTTTAAACCAGACTAATACCTGAGAGACTACCAAGTCTCACCTAAATCGTCAAGTCATTTTTTCGTAATGTGCGAACAAAATTTTACAGACATATATGTATATCTAAGATAAATATTAACATTAAAAAAAATTAACACGTCAAATTTTTTACAATACTATACTTCTATAAAGAAAGCTGAAAAAGACGAGAGAAAACTAGAATGTGTAGCATTCTCGACGCTCGAGACGAGACGAGACGATAATGTGTAGCATTCTCGACACTCGAGACGAGACGAGACGATAATATGTAATATTTTCGAAACACGAGACGAGACGATAAATTGCCCTATAATAACGAGACAAGACGAGACAGTTAAAATTATCGCCTCGTCTCGTATCGCGGCAACACTAGAATCAAATATATTATATTCTAAATTGCAAATATATTTTTTTATTTTAGATTAATAAGTACATTTATTTCAAATAAATATTAGTGTATTTATTTTAAATAAAATATTTATTTGCAACAAATAATTTTTTTTAAATATACACTTTTATTTAAAATAAATACCTTTTTTCTCTGGGTGTATCATGAATAGATTCGTTTCCATGCCAGAAATATAATTTTGACAAGAATTAATGAAAATTTTAGTAAAGAAAAAAGTTATTTCAAAAAATACAAAAATCAATTTTTCTCAAAAATTAAAAAATTGCTAAAAATTTTATCAAAATCCGTCAAAACGTGTAAGAGAAAATTTGTCGACAAGAAACGGTGACATACATTTGTTCCTTTCGACGAAATATATGTACTACACTTGAAAATTTGTAAAAATTGATTCTAAGAAATTCTACATCACTATAAGGCTTTCTTTGAGAGGAAGCAAAAATGGAAAGGATTTATAAATAATATATAATAAAGCATGTTAAAAATTAAGGTACTACTACACTTTAGAAGGCTCTTAAAAGACCAAATTTAAAAAAAAAATTTCTTAGGTCTTTTATCATAAATATTTAAAAAAACTTTTTTGCCTATATTAGTACATATTTGGAGAATTAAAATAATGGTTTGTTTTTAATTTTTATTTAATATCATAATCTGTAGACAGCATTCAGATCGAAACTCCAAAAAGTTGGTTGTCCAATTGCGGACATCAGTTTATCTCAAGATTGACAAATCGGAAACAAAAAATCCAAATTGCTTTTTAAAAAGGAAGGTGTCTTGCATAGAAATCTACCACCATTAATGAAAAATAGCAGATGTTTCAATAATTTTTGTCAAAATACACTATGTTTTTCAGTATTTTTCTAGTCTGCAAAAATGTTTTTTTTTTTAGTTTTTCGACCATTTTATGGTAAATTCTCACACAGGATATGCTAACAAACAAACGAGTTATTATTTATTAAAATCGGTTCAGTAGATTCAGAGATAAACTGTCCGCAATTTGAGAAAACGTTATTTTGAGAAATTCTAAAGTGTACCCAACAATTCATGAAACATACTGTTTTGTGAGTCAGGAAGGCAGATGAAATTGTCAGACTGCATAACTAAATAAAACTTACTGCATTTATTTCATATCATATGAAAATATTAGTTTTCATATGAGAAGTATTAAATGTAAAGAACAAAGAATTCAAACGTAAAAATATTTGTTGGCCCTGAAAAGGGCCGATTGTTTTGTGTGAGGGTGAGTGGAAAAATTTAAGCTTTCTTTTCTGTCTTCTTCGGCAAAAGAACAGCTTGAATGTTGGGGAGAACACCACCCTGGGCGATGGTGACGCCAGAAAGGAGCTTATTTAATTCCTCGTCGTTCCTGATGGCGAGTTGGAGATGACGGGGGATGATTCTCGACTTCTTGTTGTCACGAGCTGCGTTTCCGGCCAACTCCAAGACTTCGGCAGCCAAGTATTCCATAACTGCGGCTAGGTAAACTGGAGCACCTGCACGGAAAAAAATAATTCAGTATATTTTACATAACTAATTTCGGAATAGCGGATACGGAGAGGAGTTTAGTGTAAGTTAAAACAGAATCAATATTAATATATGAAGAATGAGTTTCACAAAAGCTCGAAAAAAACTTCTGTGGAATTCACAAATGTTATCAATATAAGTTCTGCAGTGATCGGTTGGGTGTTTTGCTTCAAGAGTTTTGTAAAATGTGTCGCCCGAAGCGCATGCGCGCACGGAGAGAAGTTCACGATAAAAAAGACGAAAAAAGAATTTGTTAAAGCACCAATGGAGCTCCTGGACAATTTTTTCTCTTACTCTATAGGAGATAGATGATTGGTTCAACACATTCGACTACATAACCACAACGCAGTGGTTCGCTTTGATTGGCTTATCTTATTCTAACACTAATTTAACGGAAATACGCATACATATAAACGAATTCTGACGCAACGCATATACAATATAATTCGCACTGTAAATGAAAGAATTGAGTTTCTTTATATACTAACAGAGCAGATTAAACTGCGCTTGTGAGAAAAGTCAATATACTTAATATTAATTAAAAAAAAAAAATGATTTCTTTAAAAGTTATACAAAATATTTTATAGTTTTTTAAAATAAAATTTTGTAATTAAAATTAATTATAATAAGGTTATAATATATTTAAATAATTACATTAAAATTATTTTATAACTTATAATTTATTGAATTTAAATTTAAATAAATATTATTTAATGAACCGACAATTGAGTAATTAATTCAGAGATATGTTTCGTATATATCAGATAAATATACCAAGTAGAATATCTAATAAATTTAAAATATAAGTAAATTTTAAAAGGCATTTTTTTGTTAAAGAAAATATTTATTTCGATGCTTAAAAATAATTTTATATAATTGACAAACTATTATTATTATTAAATTAAATTTAAATAATTAACATATAAATTATGTAAAATAAATTATTAGAAAAACTTATAAAACATTTATTCACTTTTTAACTATAAATTATATTTTATTTTTTTATAATTTATTTTAAATCGTCGTTTATTTTCATATTAAAATCAATATCGTTATTTTGCACGTGCATTAACAAATTATTTAAAAATTAACTCTCTTTTTAAATTCTATATTACACCCAAGTTTTTACAATGTAGTTAAAACCGTCGCTTATTTTATTTTTCGTAGTTACAATTGTATTAAAATCAATATAATCTTTTGGAAGAACGCAGTACGAGAAACAACTTTCATCGAAAACTTTAAATGCTTGTAAATGTTCAATAAAATAGCAATCGTGAAGCTGTTTAGCTATTATTTCAAATTTCTCGTCTACTATTAACATAACGTCAACCAAATAAAAAATCGTTTCATTTTCTGAAAAATAGACAACAACATGACCAGGTTTTAATTTATGACCACTGCATTCTATCCAATTTGTTACGAACAAATTGTTCTTCTGAAGTGGTGTGAGCAAATGCGAAAAGTGTTCTGCATCAGGCAGGTCAGAAAACGATTTGAATCGAATTGGACCGTTTCTAAACGGTGCATGTGTATCATTTTTGTTCAAAAATCGATAGTTTAGCATAAGTTGACTTTTCACAGCTATAGTTCGACAGACGTTTTTTCTACATATGGAGACATGAGAGGCAACTTTCCCCTCCCTATGTTTTCCCTCAAAACGAATTGTGCTTAAAGATGCAAGAGGACCAACTGCTTTCATCACTCGTGGGTAGTGAATTAAAAAATGATGTTTGGGTTTTAAGCAACCGGGATACAATCTCGAAAGTTCAGTCAAATATTCCGTTATTTCTGTATCCAGCCACTTATATGTTTCAGAATTAATAACTTTGCTGAAAATAATCTCTATTATTATTTTTAATTTGATAAGTAATTGCCAGTGAGGATCGTCTTCCGGAACGAATGGTCCGATCAGGAGAAATAGATTTCGGAATAAGTTCATCATCTCAGAGGCTGACATAATGAGACATCCTTTTTTAATTTGTTGCTCCAAAACAGGCATAGGCTTATTTGTTTTTGAATTATCACCGTAATTGAAACCAGCAATTCGAAGGTTTAAATCGTCCAGTGTGAAATATTTTTTTTTATATATGAAATAATCTAATGCCTGCGCTACATCGTATCTTAATACACCATCTGGAACATCATGTAAGGGATCCACATATAAATTTTCCGTATGATCAAAATTGGACATCTCGTCAAAAACACAGGCTTCTTTGATTCCTGAAACCGAAACATTATTTTTTGCCAAAAGCTCATTATAATTTTCGCGATTTCGAAGTTTACAATCTCGTTCATTAAACACAAATTGTATATTTTTTCGTTCGGTTAAACAATGCCAACAAAAGTAGGTAGCTTGGAAACTTTCAGCATATCCTAAAATTGATTTAATTCCAAGATTATCTCCGTAAATCAAAATTAAGCTAAAGTGTACTTGTTTCGTAACATTGTCAACTTTTATTGGTATGCCCTCATGTAGAAGGAATTCTAGTTCTTCCATAGCTTTCGTGAAAATAATTCTATTTTGGTATTGTACACGATGTTTTGTATTAAACAGCAAAAAGAGAAAGATATTTTCTAGTTTAGATTGCAAATCGGGAGGAAGAGCAGGGCAACTTAAGTATGTTGCACCACATTTGTTGACACCTTTATGACTGCCTAACGGGTTGTTGGTTTCATAGTCGTCGAACGCTAGTATTAAAGGTAAAACAATCTTATCTTTAAAGGATTTAACTTTCTCCTGATACAAAGATCCTTGAATAATGTTTTGAATTACGAATTTATTTTCTTTAACATTTTCCATGTACTGTAAAGTATTTTTCAGAATATCTGGCAATTCAAAAAACAGTTTCAATACTTTTCTGATGGGTATAAATTGTGCGCAAATCTCTTTAATGGAAGATACTTTTTCTCCATTTTTTTCGACAATAACTTTGGCCTCACCAAGTTTATAATTTTGAGGTGGTATAAAAGTCCCATTTTTCTCAAACAATTTTAATCGCTTAGCTTCTGTTTTAATATTATGGAAAGGATTTGAGAATTCATCTAAAACCTCACTGATTTCAGAAAGAGTAAAGGAATTTTTTGAAAAACTTGCTGCCTTGTTGTTAAATTCATTTTTAACGGAATTCGTGTAACTTTCAAATAAGTCGGAGACATCATTTATAATTTCATTAACATACTTTCTCGATACACTAGTTAATTTATACAGTTTAGCGGCAAACAACGTTGTTTTGGTCTTGAAGTCAGTTTCATAATTTTCTGATACATCAGAGGAAAAGATATCTTCAATTTCATCCTCGACAAAATAATCAGATTCATCACTTGAACTGTCCGAACTTTCAGTATATAATTCTTCATCTGCTGTTGCGTCTTCAATAACAGACGGTAAACTGAAATCGGCATTAAAATTTTTTTTTTCCCATATTTGATGAGGGAGTAATTCAACGCCATGTTTTAAATTACGATGTTTTTTATACGAACAAAAATTTTCATACTTCTTTTGACAAGCAGATTCTGTACATTGAAACGTATCGTAATACCTATGCGCTAACTCTACATGAAGCACTAAAGTCTTGTTATTGTCAAATGAACAATCACACGCGAAACATTTAAACATCGTGAAAAAAGTTTTTAAAAATTTAAATTTGTAATTAAAAAGAATTCTTTTAAAAAGACAGCAATTATGTCGTTTTAAGTTCTTTAAGAAGATTGTCTATTTGCTTTTCGAGAGTTCTCGTTTTTATAGACACTTTTTCTCCAGTTGGTCTAATCTCAAAAAAAGCTCGTTGAATGAAGTTCCAAACATTATATGTTTCAACTGGGTAGGCACATTTCAACGAATAAAAAGCTTTAAACGTAAAATCGACTGATTGTAAAACAGAGGTACACTCGAACCATGTGTCATCAATAACTGCATATACTTTTTGTACGTTAAGTAACGATCCAACAACGACAAATATTGGTTGCAACGTTAGCTTCTTTGATAAAAGAGTCACCTTCAATCTGTCGAGTGTTGCGTCTTCTTCATTAGAAACCTGTGAAACGATTTTTTATTTTATAAAACAATTCTCAGATTATAATAATATATTGTATAAATATATAAAGTATATTTACAGGTATGACCAGCATGTAGGATTCTCGCTTATCATTTAAAGATTTTTTCACTTGAGTATCTTCCGGAACCTGGTTTTCAGTAGTAGTTGTCCTTTTTCGCTTTTGTGGTTTTTTTATTTCAGCCGTCGGAACTATGTAAATCAGAAGATGAACCAATACAGCATCTTGATGCTCTAAAAGAATGATATATATACAAGTAAAGTAAATTTGAAATTAAAAGTAATAATGTAATATTTTAGAGATGTCCCATTACCTTGTGGTAATGTTGATATCAAACTTAACAAGGTTTTATCCTCCGGTTGTAATTTGATTGTTTTTAAAATTTTTATCAAATGATTTTTAACCAAAACCCAGTTTAACATAAGGTTATTTACTTTTTCTGGGTATAGTATTTGAAAATCTAATTGTATCTGTAAAAAAGTTTAAAAAATTATTTTATATTAGTCAAGTTAAAAATCAATTTTAACTACTATACTATTTTATATTATTTTTATACTTACTAATTGAAAACCTAATTGCTCTTTCAAACCTTTAAATTTATTACAATAATCATGAACGCTTATTTCCTCCAGTGTTAAAATTTGCATTCGAGCCTCATGCGTTTCACACCAAAATTGTTTTATTTCATCCACATTGTCCGAGTGAGCTTCTAGGTATTTGATCTTATTATCAATTGTTTCTAAAAAATAAATATTTCTATTATATATCTCTTAACTAGAAAATAATAACATTTTTTTATACAAATGAAAAAGTATTACCTTCGAAAACACAAAGTCTACCTTCTGAAGGATTTTTATCGATTTTCTTGGAATGGGGTTTTATAATTCCCTGTTTTCTTAATTCACCTTTAATATAATCGAAGTGATATTTTACTTTTCCCGCTGACGGAAATCGGACTCCGTTTTCGATTGTAAATGGGGTGAAATAAGTGGCCGCATTTTCGCTTTGAAAAACTTTTTCAATGGTAGTCGAAAAATTTATTAATTCGGAGGCATCGATGCTAAATGAAATAAGTACGTAATGTAATAAATATAATTTTTATACGAGAATAAAAAAATATAATTTTTATTATAGTAGTTAAATTGTTACAATAAAACTTACTTCCAGTCATCCAACGGCGCTTCTTTAAATTCTTGAAGAAGTTCTTTCTTCTTCAGATCGACAAATTTATGCACCAATATCTTTCTACTCTTTTCTGTTAAATATCCCCCTTGTTCGTTGTAAGCGTGAGCAACTAACTTCAATGTTTCGCCGCATCCGATAAATTTTTTTAATCGCTAAAAATTAATAATTTACTTTAAATTTATCATATAATACATAATTTAAGAAATAATTTACTGTTTTTAAAAACATTAATGAACTTACCAAATAGTGCGGATTCGTTTCCCAGTTAATTTTATTATTCTTATGAACCTCTTCGGATTGTTCACGGGTTTCTTTCGAAACAGTCTCTTCTAACTGCGTATTTTGATTTATTGCTGACAAATTCGTATAAATCGAGTTCCTAGTGTCTATTTCCTTTTGAATTTCCTTGTCAGATAGAACTACTGGTTGAGGTACGTTGTGCTGCGAAATCAAATCTAAACCCTGCAAACAGTATTTTTTTTACTATTGTTTAATTATTAATTTAAAAAATGAATAAAATTAACATTATTTAATATGGGGTACCTGACATCGATTTTTGAGACTAGCTTACCTCATCAAAGTCTGACATGATTTACCTATATGCGCGGAACCTTTGATACCTTGGAAACTCATACCTTAGAATTTACACAAACATTTTTAAAAATTGTTAAGATTGTAATTTAAATACTTTTAGGTTTATGCAATTTGTTGTTTTACCAATAGTTAAAAAAACATATTAATAATAACAGGGTGGTCACATTTAGTTTATCAATTTTCCTGACAATTTACTGACATTAAAATTATTTTCCTTAACAAAATTTTTGTAAAGGAAGATTTGAAAGATTAGAGAATACGAAAATTTAATTTTTTACAATAATTGAACTGTCCACTTTTTACATTTTTCATTTTCAAACAATAAAAATAATTTTTATTTGCTTTATTCGAAGATAATTATTTCTTAAAAAATTAGGATAAAAAACTCGAAAAATTAAGTAATTCTTAAAAACCTTTTAATGTAATTTTTTGAAAACAATTGAATTTCTTAAAACAGTTTTTGTATTATTTTAAAAAACTAATTAATTTTTTAATGAATTTTAATAAAATATTTTGAATATTTATTTTTAAAATGTTATTTTTTGTATGTATTTGAATTTTCAGAAATATGTAATTGAAAATATGTAATTAAAATTTTTGTTAATTCAATTATTTTGAAAATTTTTAATTAAAATTCTTCAAAAGTTGATTTTTATAAATTCTAACAAAATATTGGAAAAGAATTAATTATTTTTAATTAAATTTTACAAAATTTTAATTGCTGAAAATTTTTTTAACTGTATATTCAAAAATTTAAATAGAAAGATGATTCAAAAATAATTTCTGAAAGATTTGTTTATAGTTATTTTCCGCATTACAAAAATCGAAATAAATTACATTTAATACTAAAAAATATATTTTCTTGCAATATTTAGAAGGAATGTCGAAAAAGTCACAATTTTTGAAAATAAGTCGAAATAAATCTTATTTTTCTAAATTTTCCTGACAAAAATATTTTTTTTCTGACTTTTCCCTGACTTTACTGACATTTCCCTGACTTCACTAACATGTGGCCACCCTGAATAATTAATAAATATATGTAAACAAAAAACCGGTGAAAATTGAAAAACATAACCTCAAATTTCAACGAATATGAATATTTATTTTTTACGGTTTTTACCACCGAATCCACACATAAAAATAACTTTCATAGTTTTAATTTGTAATTAATTTAGATAGAAAACTATACTTACAATATTTATTGTTCACAAATAGTGAAAAACGATGGACAGGATCGACAGGATGATCACGTTTGAAACACAACACTGGAAAAAATACTTGTAATTGCTCTAACCTAAATTTGCGTAAACAAGTGACGCGCATGGCAAGTAACTATACAGGGTGTATTAAAAACACGAGGTAGTAACCAGAAACGGGACTTTCAGTACACCCTGTGTAGAATTTTGCGAAACTCTGTTCGAGAATTCACGGCAGACAGCGAAGTGAAGACTCAAACCACGTGTTATTTAGATTGTACGAGACATTTTCACCATTTTCTCATACAATATTCCTCAGAAAATACGAAACATTTCTACATTCAAGTTTATTTTAGAAATTACAACACTGCTTACAGTTTCTCCAAAATTGTTCTGCCTAAAGTAGTGAAAGTTTCTGAGTTTATGAAAAACTTCGTCAAGGAATCTAAAATATCCGCTAGTCCTAAATTAGTTTCGTAAAAAATACTGAAATAATTTTTTCCGTGTGCACCAACACGCTCGGCGTAGTTTCCTTTGCGCAAAAGCCGATGGATACGACCGACTGGGAACTGAAGTCCAGCCCGGTTGGAGCGGGTCTTTGACTTTCCCTTGGTTTTGCCACCTTTGCCACGTCCTGACATTTTCGATTTAGTTTTAGGTTAACGAAGTAAGCACAACGAAGAATTCGAAGCGAATGATATTTTGCGCCTGAAATCCGCCTATTTACACTCTCTCCACAGGTCACGCCCACAACTGCGCTCCCCTCTCTTTGTCGTGAGTGGCAGATGGTTGCAGTGAGTCCCCGCACCAATCAAAATGTAGGAGCACGACTGTAAGAGAACGTAAATAGGGCAGTTTCCGCTGCTTAACGTCAATTCGCTCTGTGTTCTCTTCGAGTTCAGACGTTCTTTCTTTGAAAACAAAGATGCCTCCTAAAGCAAGTGGTAAAGCCGTGAAGAAAGCCGGCAAGGCTCAAAAGAATATTACCAAGACCGACAAGAAGAAGAAGCGCAAGAGGAAGGAGAGCTATGCCATCTACATCTACAAAGTATTGAAGCAAGTGCACCCCGACACTGGAGTCTCCAGCAAGGCCATGAGCATCATGAATTCGTTCGTGAACGACATCTTCGAGCGCATCGCTGCCGAATCTTCCCGCTTGGCCCACTACAACAAGAGGTCCACCATCACCTCCCGGGAGATCCAAACTGCCGTCAGGCTTCTCCTTCCTGGTGAACTCGCCAAGCACGCCGTCTCTGAAGGCACCAAGGCTGTCACCAAGTACACCAGCTCAAAGTAAATTCTTGTCCACCCTCAACAAAACAATCGGCCCTTTTCAGGGCCAACAAATATTTTTACGAAAGAGTTGTTTGGTTCTACTATGTGTTTCAAAAATGTTTGACCCTGGAGAAAAATTGATATTACACAGTAGAAAAAAATCTCTATAAAACAAGACAAAATGCACGAAATCGATCATTTTATTCTTCATATAATTTCCATTCATAACATATGAATAAAAAATTTTTTTTACAAAGATAGAAATCTGAAAAAATTCATCAACATTCCTTAATATCTACTTTCAACATATTTACAAATTGTTTTTTAAAGAATTTTAAACAATTGTTTACATATTTATTTTTAACGAGAAGTACAATTTTGGCTTGTAATTGTGATAGAAACTTCAAACAAAATTTAAAATTTTTTATTCTAAATTTAATAAAAGAATTATTGTACAAGTGTAAATTTCTTTTATATTAACAATTCTTTTTTAAAATTTTTTTTAAAAGTCACTCAATAGGAAAAGTAATTGATACACTCCGAAAACTCAGGTAGTACTGTCTCGTTTATGGCTATGTCATTTTTCCTATTTTCAGGTGCCATGCAAAAAAAGGCTACGCTGGATAGCAATCCTTCCAGAAGTTCAAGGGTGTTATTGAAACTTATTGCCCTCTTTGTATGCAAAGGAAAAAAAAATTCTGAAAAAAAGAATTGTTAATATAAAAGAAATTTACACTTGTACAATAATTCTTTTATTAAATTTAGAATAAAAAATTTATTTAAAAAATTTTAAATTTTGTTTGAAGTTTCTAGCACAACTACAAGCCAAAATTGCATAATAAATATGTATGTAGACAATTGTTTAAAATTTTTTAAAAAACAATTTGTAATTGAATGGAAATTATATGAAGAATAAAATAATCTATTTCGTGCATTTTGTCTTGTTTTATAGAGATTTTTTTCTACTGAGTAATATCAATTTTTCTCCAGGGTCAAACATTTTTGAAAAACATAGTAAATGATAATTAATTTGCTTGTATAGAAATATTCTTTTGACTAAAGAATTTAGATATTTGTCTTATAGTAGACTAACTTTCGTAAAGTTGCATGTAGAAATTGAGAATTTAATAGTATCCAGTTGTAGACATTTTTTTATATTAAATATAGAAACAGTTTATTTATGGATACATATCTACTAACAGTTAAACGCATTTTTACGTCGATTGAGATCTTAGTTTTGGCTAACAAATAAATGCTAATTTGATATATTAAACAATAAGAAAATAAATATAAGACACTAATGTTTAAAAAAAATACTATATTAAAACAACGGAAGTACACGGAGAGAAATCTGCTGCTAATATTACTCGAAAGAGCACATTACTTAAATTGCTTAACGTTTCTCTTACACGGAAAAAAATTAATCTCTAAACTTGAAATAATATTAATTTCAAGTCCAATGAAATATAAGTGTATCTAAATTAAACATTATAGTCACAATTACTGTGATAAGTTGTGTTTGATTCTGTCAAACTTTATACCAGAAAACGCCATAAATTCACATCTCTGATTTAGAGATTTGTTAATTTCACAACTTTTTTTATATGAATTACATACAATTAACCGTTTTCATTTTCCGTATTTTATGAATGTTTTTCGCGTCATCATGTGGAACATTTATTTTTATTTATTAGACTTATCGGCGTTGAAAGGTCTGTGAAATTTTAAGGTTACAATTATCGCCCGACATAATACGGCACACTGACTGATTTAAATGACGTGAAATAGGTAAATAAACATTTTTCAACCACTTTTTCTCTAAACACAGACACTTTTTACAAAATAGGCCAACATACAACGGGTAAGAATCTTCTTAATAACCTAAATTCAAAAGATTGTTTAAATTCATGCAGAAACGCGGTTGTCAAGCGGTTGTAAAATGTAAAATTGGAAATGAGTGGAAAGTAATGTAATGACAGACAACAAGAAGCGGTTTACTGCCAGTCGCCAGAAGAGGGCAGAAGCATGCAGAGAGCACAATGGTCCAGCTGTTATATTCTTAGCTTTACATCACTTTCCAATTTTACATTTTACAACCGCGTTTCTGCATGAATTTAAACAATCTTTTGAATTTAAGTTATTAAGAAGATTCTTACCCGTTGTATGTTGGCCTATTTTGTAAAAAGTGTCCGTGTTTAGAGAAAAAGTGGTTGAAAAATGTTTATTTACCTATTTCACGTCATTTAAATCAGTCAGTGCCGTATTTTGTCGGGCGATAATTGTAACCTACAAATTTTACAGACCTTCCAACGCCGTTAAAACAAAAAAATGAAATAAAAATATAAAATTCGTATTGTGTTTTAAAAATATCCAACTACTTTTTTATACTTGTCAATGTATAGTTCATACAGGGAAAACAATATAAATATTTTGTGAATAATTCTCACTCTAAATTGTGATAAATTATAAATTCTTATTACATCGAGTTATTACAAAAAATACGAATTATATAAATATACGACTAAAATGTTTAATATTGTTTATTCAAATAATATATTAGATTTGAATTTATTCAAGTAAGTTGATAGTTTAGAACATATGTTCCATGTCATAAAATTTATTGAGATTCCTAATATCATTTTTAGGCATAAGAAATACGTGTTCTTCACAATACTAATATTCGGATTAGATATAATACCAAATTTCAGTTTTAGTGATCTGCTTACATCTTACGTCCGATTCCAGTGATAGTTTATGCCTAAATCTCAGATTTAATCACTAATTTAGAGATTAATTTTTTTCCGTGTATATTTTTAGCATCGATTCATATACTTATTGTAAAAATACTTTCAATGCAATAAGCATAAGAGATAGTAGCTAATTTTGCACGAAATCTTTATTATAAATACAAAGAGAACGTGCTATAAAAGTATTAGATTCTTCTTATAAGAATCGCTCGAACTCCGACTGATTTTCAGGCGGACTTTATACAACACAATCTTACCTGTGTATATACGCACATATAACTCACACACATATATTTCTCTCTCTCTATATTTGATATTTCTCTGTCCTGTAAAACATTATTATATATTATATGTAGTATTTAATACTTGTTGCTGTTAAAAAGATAATATTTATTTAATAGTAAGTATATTATTTAAAAATTATTGCATTTTTATTCGTGTTTGAATATATAAGTAACATGTGAAAATTGTTAGGTTATGTTATTGCAAACGTCACCGCTTTGTACGCGTTCCGTTCCTCGAAACCATCCAGAGAAATATATATGTGTGTGTGAGTTATATGTGCGTACACGCAAGTAAGATTGTGTTGTATAAAGTCCGCCTGAAAATCAGTCGGAGTTCGAGCGATTCTTATAAGAAGAATCTAATACTTTTATAGCACGTTCTCTTTATATTTATAATAAAGATTTCGTGCAAAATTAGCAGCTGCTTTTTGATTTTATTGCATCGAACTCTCCATTACATTAAATAGATGATTTCGTATATAAATTATTATAACCTCAAGCTAAAATTCTATTCAGCAGTGACTAATAAAATTTGTAAAGATTCTGCAAGCAATAATAGCAACAGATTTCTCTCCGTGTACATAAACGAATTACAATAAACTAGTCAGATAAAATTTAATTGGATAAATTTTAATTAAAAAAGAAGTCAACACTACGCGGTATTCCCAAGCGGTCACCCATCCAAGTACTAACCGCGCTCAATGTCGCTTAACTTTGGTGATCAGACGAGAACCAGTGCTTTACAACATTTTTGTTTGTTTGTTTGTAAACCAATATTTATTTAACAAGAAATATATGTACATTATTTACAGATTTTAGTCTTATAAAAAACATTGGAAAAAAGACATAACTTAAACTATAATTTCTCTTAAACTGTGTGATCCCTTCGCGGATTCTCGCAGATATGACAAAAGAGAGCTTTGATTTATTTTCTTAATTTTTGCTTTTTGTGTTAGTTTTCTGGGTACGACGAAATTGTACCATTTTTACATTTTACATGGACTATAAAAATTCTTTATAAAAACTAGTCTCAACATAAATCTTTGTTAAGTTATAAAAAAAAGGGAAAAAATTAGCTGGTCGAAATTTTATTCGATGCAATTATAATATATTTAATGAGTTTTGTAATTAAACAAGCCACCAATATTTATCTGCTTTATTCCTATAGGAACCTTTTTTGTCCCTTTTAGGTAAGCTGGTTGAATATTTTAAATTTACATCTTGATTTTCTATTTGCTCAAGCGTGTATTCGATTTTTCTATTAAGTTTGTTACGTTTAATGTGATAAATGACAGGCACATTATTTCTATCTTGAATTAACCCTAATTGGTCGAGGTATGTGAACGCTTCTGGTGGTATAAATCCACTGTGTAGTGTTTTTTCAAAATACAATGAGTTT